ATTTCTCAAGAATTTGTTTCTCAGACCCAGTACTCTTCGTTAAAAGTAAATATTCAAAATTATTTTCAGAAATTGTTTCCAGATGGAAATTATTTGATCTGAGGTCTTTAAAACTTAGAAGGGTTCGTGTAGATTCAGGATACAAGAGTGCATCCTCAATTACAATTGTAGTACCCATAGGTAGAACGAGTGTGGCTCGTATTGAACCAATAATCGAGGCATCTCGACCGGCGATGGTCATAATATTCCCTTTTCTCTTAGTTAGAGTTTGAAAATATTTTATTTCCCTTAATATTGTGTTAGTGGTACAACTGTCCACCAAACATAATTCTTCTTCCATTGGATTATTTTCCCGTAAAATCTATATAGAGTGAGAGAATATTTTAGGATGAAATTTTATTCATTACTTACATATAAATACATACAAAGTATTCATATTACATTTACAAATATAAATATGACATTGTGTCTGAATTACATAATATGGTTGGTCCGTAGGACTTTATTCTACTTAGAGTTATACAAATTATAACTTCCATTATTACAATAAAATAGCTGATAACATCAAATGAGTGATGTGGAGATTATATGAGATCTCCGTATGCGTCTTGGGTGTATTCCACCATCATGTTGTCGACATCAAGAAGATCTTCATCCTTCTTCCTTGTTTCCTGAGGAGCTCTTTGAGAAGGGCTAACTTCAAGGTTCTCTTCTTGTTGTAAAGCATTGAAGTGAGCTTCTGCTTTTCCATGAACTTGTTTGCCTTTCCCGGTGGATTTGAGATATAAATCCGCTAGATGCTTGGGAGTTCGGTATTTGCTAGTACGATGGTTAGTACATCCACACCTTTGACAAATCTCGGAGTTGGTGTTTCGGTCATTTTTCTTGAAGTGACCTTTACCTTTAGATTGACCAAAGCTTTTCTGCTTGTTGTTCCTTTTCCACTTTCCATTGAATTTCAAGAAATTCTTTTTGTTGCCCCCATACTTTTTAGTAAACTGAGTGTTAGCATGTGCCTCAGGGAGTGGAATTGAGCCCGTTGGGCGTGTCTGATGATTCTTCATGAGAAGTTCATTATGTTTCTCAGCCTGAAGTAAAGTGTATATGAGCTCAGAATACTTTTTGTATTTTTGTTGACGGTACTGCTGTTGTAGTACTCTCATTGAGGGGTGGAAAATGCACAAGGTCTTCTCAATAAGGTCTTCTTCGGAAATTGCTTGATTGCAAAACCTTAGTTTTGAGTTAACCTTGTGAACTGCAGAGTTATATGCTGCCACAGATTTGAAATCTTGGAACCTTATGAGGGACCATTCTCTCTGTGCTTCTGGCAGCATAACTGCTCTTTGTTGGTCATATCTCTCCTTGAGAGAGTTCCACAAAACTAGTGGATCTTCTTCCATCAAATATTCCGACTTTAAGTCCGGATGGAGATGGTGCCTTAAGAAACTTAAAGCGGTATATTTGGCTGCCGTGGGGATTTCTCCGGCGCCTTCAATGGGTGTGATGATGGTGGAACCGAGTTTACGACTTTCAAGGGCTATCTTTGCATCCATAGCCCATGGTAAATAGTTACTACCATCTAGTTCAAGTTCATGAAATTCTCTGTTCATGACGCCAGCCATTTCCTGCATGGTATTATCATGCATAATTTTAGTTTTACTATGAGAGTAAAATATAAGTACAACAAATGCTTCGAAGAAGCAAAATTTTCAAGTATAGCTGATGCTTTATACTTATATGTGTAGACCTCATTTTATGTATATGGCACTTTGAAGATAGTCACCATTGCGGTGTAGATCTCACAGTAATGGAGAGCATAATCTGGTTTTGACCAATAGATGTTCATATGTCCATTACCTTGTGTCATACTACATTTTACAAAAATACTTTGAAGGTAGTCATCTGTCAAAATACTAGATGTAGACCTTACAACAAGAGTGGATAGTCTGCAATTTGGTGCAGTAGATCACACAATTACCTTGTGATTTGCAAGTATAAAATTCGAGGTAGTCACATCAATTTCGTATATTTGGGAGAGCACTCGAAGATAGTCATTTTGCCAAAATAGAAAAGGCAAAATGTAGATCTTTCAGCGATGAGGGTAATCTGCAAAGTGCAGTAGATGCCTCATCTGCCTTGTGATCCCAAATTTTGAATTGTAAAATAAAATTGTTGTACTTAAGAATTACATATTCTAAAAAAAATGCTGAAGCAATCATATAGAATATGTACACATAGTCTGAGACTTTATGTTAGACGATACATAGTCTAAATATTCACACTTATAATACAGTACTGAATATGATAAGCAGAGGTTCTTAATACAATAAAATACTAATCTCATATAGAAAGAACAAGCTGCTGTACAATATATACACTATGGCTATTTCCTGTTGGAAACGACACAGCGCCAGCAGCCATTTATTGGATTTCTTGGCCTGTAGGCCTGTTTGGTGAGAACGTACGTGGCTTGGGCTGGCCCATGCACCGACAGAGAGAAGGATAAGGATAGCACGCACGAGGGTTTCCCACACAGCGCCGCTTCTCCCGTTCCCCACTTCTCTGCTTGATCTGGCACAACACCTCACCACACCGTCTCTTCTCTGCTCATGGCGTCGTCTTCAAGGGAGGCGGGGTGTGCCCCGCATCTCCGCACGACCCCCGCCGCTGCTGCACGCCCCGGGGGCGCCGGTGAGGCCGAGGGCCGCCGGCGACCACGCGCCCCGGACGGCTGCGCGGTTTTGCGCCATGGCCGCGGCGAACTGCCGCAGTATCCGACGCGCCTCCGGTGGAGGTGTGGGAGGGAGGGGTGGCGCTGGAGGCAGGGGTGGTGTCGCCGGTGATGAATGAGGCGGCGGCGGCGTCGACGACGAGCCCTGTCCTTTCATCTCCTCTTCTTCTTCTTGATGGCCATGTTCAGATCGGGGACGGTGGAGTAGGCATGGACTTCCACTGCTGCCGGCGTCGGAGACGGGAGATCCGGGACAGGACCGTATCCAGGAGGGAAGAAGTGCTCCGGCAGTTCATCCGACGGCGTCGGTGACGGCAGCCGCGGTTGTGCGCCCGTACGCGCTGGGCACGGTCCAAACTCGTGCTGCAGGCAGTACGGGGGCAGTGGTGGCGGCGCGAGTTCACAAGGGAACATCTCCTCTTCTCCGAGAAACGGCGTCGATGGCCCTGCAAGCAACCACTCCATCGGAGGGATGGAGAAGACAGTTGGTGTAGTCGCGTGTCCGACGTACTCGTTGGCGACTGCCGGAGCCGAAGGCCCGGCCTGGTGCATTGCAGGTATCTCTCCATTTGCAGTAGTGGCCGTGGCGGAAGGCCCAGCCTGGTGCACAGGGTGGTTGCCATGGCGTGCATATCCACGGCGGCGGTTCTGGCGGTGGTTCCAGGCGAAGAAGCGGCGACGTGGGCCGCTCCTTACACCAAGGCCATGACGGCGACGGTTCTGGCGGTGGTTCCAGGCGAAGAAGCGGCGACGTGGGCCGCTCCTTACACCAAGGCCATGACGGCGACGTGCGGCACGGTGGCGAGGAGTGCGGGAAAGGCGACGGCTCTCTCTTTGGATAAAGCGAGCGAAAGCGAAAGCCGCAGATGACAGGTTTCTCCCTGCCATGACCTACCTTTTCTTTTCCTTCCCGGTGATGGCACTATCTCTCTTTCGGCAGAGCAGTGCTGATAACGTGTAAAGATAAAAGTGATTGTACGAATGATCTGATGCGTTCGTACGATGCTTGGACACTAATAACTGCTAACTACGTTTCCTAACAACGATTCGCTAAAGCCGCTTCATTGATGTCGGTTCTCAACAGTTTTAGAACTTTCATTAGAGCATCTTCAACGGGACGCACCACGCGGCGCGCTAAAAAACAGTTTACAGCGCCGGAATGGTCAGGTTTTGCTCGCAGTGGAGCGCTGGCTCCAGCAACCGCTGCCAAAAAATACGCGTGCGCGGCGCTCTAGCACACTAAACTACAGCGCGCGTGAGCAGCCGGCGTTTTGTAATATGTTCAATTTGAAAACAATATGGTGATATAGCATAGTTTAAAATCATCCATACAAGTTCGTGAAGTAAAAGTTTAAAATCATGCCACATCACATCATCATCCAACCAAGTTTAAAATCATGCAACCAAGTTAATGACATAAAAGTTCACACAAACAAATGGTACGTCAATAATTATGTATCATCCTCGTCTTCGTCCTCCTCTTCCTCCGATTCTTCATCCTTCGAAGACGATTCTTCCTCCTCCTCTTCATTGTGTTGCGCCGCTTCATCATGGGAAGCTCGGAAGATGTTGGCAAGATCTCCAATGGCATCATGCGAAGGTATGTGAGGCACACCAAAAGACATGCGTCCACCCATGACGGCATGAAAAGGCCGCACGCGACACCGGTGCTTGGAGGAGCACCGGCGGAGGCGAAGCCAAAGCTCCCCGCGCTAGGGTTTGCGCCGGCGACGGCAGCGGAGGGGTCGCGGGGGCAGGAAGAGGTGAGGGGGATGTCGGCGCTGCCGTCCATCGGGCGAATTCGCCGGCGGCGGTATGGGCAGGGAGAAAGCGGCGCGGCGCTCGAGTGTGTAGCGCGCGGAAGCGGGCGCACGAAATAAGCGGCGCGCGATGTCGTTTCGCCCCGCGCGCTGAACTACTTATGCAGCGCGCATTTTTTGCACCTTTGCTGGAGCGCCCGGAGCGGCTGCGCGCGCAAAAATCTGTGTTTTTCCAGCGCGGCTGTTGGAGATGCTTTTAATTTCCAGCCATCTGTTTTTTATTTGGCTACAGGCTGATTTTCTGTCCCGTCGGATCGTGCACGAATCTTGGCGACGGTGGTGTTCTCATTCTCCTTTTCTTTTGCCCGCGTGTGTGCGTGGAAGGCTGGTTTGCGGATTTCAGTCCCAAAAGAGCAGCAACAGCAACGACGGCGACAGCCGATTCCCCGGCCGAATTCGTGCGATCTCCGGCGGAATCTGTTCTGCGCAGGAATCGGCGGGCGGAGCGAATGACGGTACCGGAGGCGGTGGCACTAGACATACCGGCGGAAGAGGGTTCGCCGGTGGCCAGGGTGCCGCGGCGGATCAGGAGGAGGCTCCTCCAGGCGCGTGAGTCAAGCGCCGACGCGCCGGCAACCGCCGAAGAGATCGAGACCAAGCTCCGCGACGCCCAACTCCGGAGGCAGGTTGGCACGCTCCACCTTTTTTCTTTCTTTCCCGCTGCGTGCTTCATTATTTCGCGTTCATAGTTTGAGTATGACTTCGAAATGGAGATTTAGCCAACACGTTTGTGCGGTATAAAAAAAAATCGATTTCTCAGAGCCCGGTGAACCCCTGAACCCTTGCCTTGTGCAGAAGAAGATGACATTTGGCTATCAGATCCATTTCCGGTCGAGGGGTATACTTCTTATGTTGAGCATCAGGCTTCATTGCATTTTCTGACCTTTCATGCCTAATCTCTATAGACTTTGCACGAGCGATGCGATCTTTTGGTGTTAAGGGATCTGCGGACCGATTTCCTGTAAGATATCCAAGGAATAGTTACGCTCCGGTTAATCATAGTAATTGGACGAAACAAAATATGCATTAATAAAGCCAAATAACAGTATGAAAGCCTTCAAGGACAGCAAAGAAACCCGTAAATTTAGCCAGATCCCAGTCGCACCCAAGCAACTGGCAGATGCCACTCCACATGAAATGTGCAAGGTGACAGGACAGATATGCAGCACATTTTCCTCCTCACCACACAACGCACAGGACGGCCCGTGATACTTAAGTATTTGGTCAGTACAAGGGGGACGATCTCTGGCAAGTTGCCAAGTGAAAATCTTGATCTTTAAAGGCGATCGACGCTCCACATATCCTTCAAGTGAGCCACTTCTTGGCAAATCCTAGAGTAGAGTGACCTGGACGAGAAAATCCCTGAAGGTTCCAGTGCCCAGGACATGGATTTGTCAATGGAACCCATTTGAACCTGCTCCATCACTGAGTGAAGCGCCTCCCACGGTAGGAGCTCATCATGGCTGAAGGAGCGGTGAAAATGGATATGTTAGCCATCACCTCTAAATGCCTAATCAGCCGTGAACGAGGGGTTGGAACAAATGTTAAACAACAGGGGAAACCGGTATTTCAAGGGGCTTGCACCATGCCACCAATCCATCTAGAAAAAAGCGTCAGTTGGCTGTCGTTAACTGCATGCATGCTTAGCACCGAGCTTGAAGATATATTTAATGCGGTCGATGCTTTTCCGAAATTGAGACCCCCCTGCCCCAACGCAGAAGTAGATATCCGAGGCCTCGGGATATTTAGCTGAAATGAATATCTTTCTAGAGGCTCCTGTCATCTTGGTACAACTTCCAGATCCACTTTAGGGTGGTGCGCTGCCAGCCAATTGACTAAGATCTCTTCAGTCCAGCTATTTCCCAAAAGAAGTGGGAGCGGTGCTTGTTCATGGCAGCGTGAATTCTGTCTGGCAGCATGTAAAGTCAAGTACCTTGGTAGTC